CTGTTACAGTCGGATCAAATTTATTTGAGCACATCCATCTTTGTTTTCTGCTAGCAGAATCCGGACTTTGTCACTAAAAATAAAACCACTTCCCCAAATGACATGTTATTCACCTGTCATATTTCCATCAGCAAAATTCTAAACTTTGTACTGGTACAAACAGACTTGCAGTCATAATCTCTGCAAGAGTGATTGCTCTGGTGACAATTTTAAGTTCTGTTGGCCAGAGGTCAAAATGACCAGAAGTCTGCTTCTTCCAACATGCTTTCAAATCCCAGCATATTTTAGAAATACCCATGCCGTCTCCTCTGAAAAAAAGGTATTTGCAAAGATAAGGTTCCACGGTAGTGCTGTGGTGCTGAATTCAGTAGAGCAGGACATTCCATGATTTATGGTTACTTGTGACTCATGGCATTGACATAGCTATTGATACTGCTGAAGCAGTCAGAACTGATGGAGATTGTTTTTAAGTGGTTTGCATCAAAATATGATGCCAAAATGCTGTCAAGATTATTTTATTTTATTTAATTTTATAAGGCCAACAGACATTTATTTCTAAATGCATGACAATCAGTTGCAAACAATCAACAGAAAGCAAAGGCCAGTGATTAAATAAATCTTACAGCACAGGCAAAAGAAAAAGAAAATGCAAAACATTAAACAAGCTTTCCCTCCCCAAAAGTTTTCTTAGAAAGAGGGGACTGCTGAAGAGGGAGTGCTAGCCTTAAGGATTAATTTATTCACTATAATGCACCAGGAGGGAGATTGAAAACAAAAGGAAGCCTCACAAAAAAACATCCTGCCAGTATGCCTTTCTCAGTTGCTGGCTGAAAGAGGCCTGGAGCTGTGGACCAAACTTTTGTCTCCTGCATTTTGCTGCTTTTTTTCTTCAGAGGAATAGGATGGTCTACACTCTTTGAAATAAAACATTATACTGTACTACAGATAAACACCTCTTTCTCTCCCCTCCCCCTCCACTCTCCCCCTCATTCATGTGTTTATGGGTCAGATTATGGTACAGTAATTTTAAGCTTGCTTTCTTCTGAAAAGTTGTATTAAGTGAAAGGGATACTCTGTATGGGGAATAGCAGCATCACAATTTAGTCCTTTATTTCTTAATTTAAATAATTTTATACATTGACTAGTTTATTTTTGTTATGTATCATAGGTTCAAGGCTTGTGGAAATTGTTTTTCACTTTGGAGCTCCCGCTGGTAAAAATATTGGCAGGTAAGAAACACAAGTCCAGAACCTGAGCCTTTGGATCTTTTGGATAGTATTTTCTAGTATGATTTATAACCCACAGTATTTGAAGATTATTTATATCTTCTGTTTGTATTAACAGAAGGTTTATGTACAAATGTGTGCAAACATAATATCCTTGCAACAGCTGTCTGGGGTTGATGGCATTTTTCACATTTTGCAGTTGGAGAGCAGAGGTTAAGATCAAAATAGTCCAATCAGGTGATCTAAAGTGAGGCTCAGAAATAAAGTGTACTTCTGAAAATCAGGTCACTGTTTAAGCCCTTAGGTATGGAGCTAACTCCTAAGTTTTGAACTTTACAATTAAGTTTAAAAGAACAGGCCTAAGTGACTTGGTTAAGTTGCACAGCAAAGTTAATGTTAACATGGGAAGTAGAACCCAGAAATTCTTAGTTCCTATTGTGTTGCTTTGTTCATTAGTAACCTTTTGTTACTTTTTTAATATGGTAGAGGTACATGGACACTTTTCAGTTTTTATTTTGTTCTTATTTATAAACCTGTATTTACAGTGATGGAAACCCACAAAATACATGTGAATAAAGAAGAGCTGAAAAGAACATCAGAGATTCTAGGGGTAAATTATAGAGTGTATTTGTTTTTTTTTTTAATTATGCAGTATTTAAAATTTTTTTAAATTTATGCAGTAAAGGTCAGTTCCACACTGGCAGGGAGACTAGAAGGCTATCTGATAGAAATTTATTTTAACATTCAGTTCTATTTTGATTTTGTTGTGTTTTATAACAGGCGGGTAATTATTTCAGGAGGAGGGAGCCCAGTTACCGAGTTTTGGCAAGCTGTTGAGGGCTGCATTGGCAGCCCTGCCTCTTGACAGATGCCCTGCCCCTGGGTGCCATCTTGTGACCGGAAGTCCCTCACCTTGCCCATGGAAGTAT